CAATAAAATATTAGAAATGATTTAACATTTTATACTTTTGATAAACACAATGTTTTATTTCAAGAAAAAACAAACAAAACCATCGTAGTATCGTACTAATAAAATGCGCCAAGCGCTTTTTTTATGCCAGCTCGTCTAGAGATGATTCGATACGAGTAAATACAAATACTTACTCGATACTTTTCTATCGAAACCAAGTACTTATGGCATCGATACTTTAAAACAGAGTAGTAAATAGTATCGTGAAGTAAGAAAGTAAGTGTTTGTATCGGTATTTGTTAGGTCAGTCTCTGAGGAGTGTCAAAAACTCGCGAGCATTAGTCTGTTTACTCTGTGTTAAAGTGTCTAAAGTCTATCTTATGAGAAAGTCCCACAAGCGACAGTGACGCTGCCCTGTCCCTGTATGACTAATCATTACTAACCCTTAATAATTTTATGCAGTTAGAGAACTATATAGAGGGGGCACTGCCATCAAAATTTGAAGCAAAACCTAACCAAATACATCCTATCCTATTAATATTATAAAGGCGAAAGTTTGTAAGTATGGATGTATGGATGTTTGTTACTCTTTCACGAAAAAACTACTGGACGGATTTGGATAAAACTTTACAGCAATATAGGTTATACATCAGAATAACACATAGGGTACTTTTTACTGGGAAAACTTCTCACTCCCACGGGATACCGACTTCCACGCGGACGAAGTCGCGGGCGTCCACTAGTTATACTTATATACGCCGCTTTTTATATCTAGACCTACTTCTCTTTCTTCATATACAGAGTAAAGATGTTGAATATCAATAGTATCAAATCTACTCTGAAAAAACTGTAAAAATGATGACGATGGTGAGGCATTTTAAAATTATTTGATACTAGTAGGTATCGATTAAAAGTATCGATTCCTACGTGGTATCGTGGAATCCTTAAGCTCGTCATGGCATCAGTGATCAGCTGTGCATCATCTGGCAGAAACTTTGGATAGAGTAAAGAGTAATTTATGATTAGAATTAGAATAAGAGTAGTAATAGGGATGATGACTAATTTTTGTTTGTTTGTCCGTCAGGTAGAGTGTTAAAAAATATTAAACACGTATTTTTTATTATTTTCGTAATCATAAAATTACGGCGTTACATGGAGTTGAAATTTCGCATGACGTCACGTTAGGGTATGTTTTCTACTCAACTGTGACGTAACGAGCCCCCACTCCTCAACTTTAATGCCTGTTATCTAAGCTATTTCTTGGTAAATTGAAGTAAAAAAAAAATACGTATCTAATATTTTTCTATTATCTACATGACGGACTAAATAGAATTGCAATTTTTTTACCCAGTCATCATCCCTATTTAGTAAAAGTAAACTTGGCATTTCATTTTATGTTTGAAATAATTATTAATAGCTGTTAAATTTTTTTGTTATATGTAGAGTTCTGAGTAAATCCACGTATAAAAAGATCGGTAACCCATTAATGGAGGAATTTATTTATATCGTGTAATAGTCACCTTAATGAAATTTGCAAATTTTGTGGTAGTAAAAAAATAACCATTTTATGAAATAGTTAAAAATACAAGATGGGGAAGTTTGGCACCATTCGTACACGGGGAACCTTCATACAGTCACTACTACATCTTGTAGAAAAGTCTATTTATTACGACTTTGTGTCAGTGGATAGGTGCCGGCGACTGCCAGTTGTCCACGAATTTAGCCACACATGCAGCCACTGCGAGCGAAACCAGAGAACTTAAAATGTTTTGGTATGCTCTTAGTAAATACTTTATTAATGTTTTTGGATCTTCCGTGCTTTAATTACACGTCAATTTTTACTGGATTATTGCTTAATCGTAAGTGAATACGATTAAGATAATAATAATATATCTATTATGTGTATTTTTCTACGTGGGTTTTGTGTTAGAATAAATAATTTTATTCTTGATCTTCGGGGCACGTTCGTACATTTCCAGCAAGGGCACATTCGCACGCGTATGTATGTACCCCCTAACCCCCTGTGTGCTAACAATTTTTATGATTATATCAGAAAATTTAGAAAAAATGATCGGAATTTTAAGAAGAAAAGGCAGATACGTTCCCAATATTCATTAAATGAGTTTTTTGGCGTCTGTAAAAGGTATTTTATATAGTAAAAGACAAATAGTTTTACTGAAAAGACTAATTCAATTGAAAAAGTTCAAAAACCCATTTCTGAATCGCGATATTGGAAGTCACAACACTATCAAATGATCATGATAAAGTTTTGAAACATATATGTTTGCAAAATTGTAATGAAACTGGCTTCGCTGATATAGAATGGATGCACGGTTTTCGTAAAAAAGATAGTTAGACTCTAAACGACTTATAGGCATATGTCGTTTTGTTTATTTATTTATTTATTTAATCTTTATTGCATGGAATAGCAAATGGCGGACTTAATGCCAAGGGCATTCTCTACCAGTCTACCAGACAGAAAGTAGGAAGCAAGATGTATGGCGATAAAGAAAGTAGAAGTACTAAACAAAAAACAGTTATACATAAAATAATAAACAAATAGATTTATGCATAAATAAATATTGATATATACGTATATTATAAATATATACAATAACATATATACAACATATAACATATATACTACATAATATCGGATTCATGAAAAACTAAGGACTATTTAAATAGTGTTCATGCGCTAGTCTTTTGAACACACTTTTGCTTTTGGCCTTCCGAATGTATTCTGGCAAAGCATTCCAGAGGCGAGTAGAAGTTACAGTAAAGGAGTTTGACATAAAGCTGGTTTGATGAACAGGGGTTTGAAGAGTAATATTACTACTAGAGCGAAGTTCTCGCTGATGACAAGCACCCAAAAACTGGAATCTTGATTTTAGATATCTCGGAGTACGTGGATCGTATAGGATGTTGTAAAGAGTGGAAACAACTCTAAGATTCCTGCGCTTACGAATAGGCAACCATTCGAGTTGGTTTCTATACTGAGAAATATGGTCGAACTTACGTAATCCAAAGATGAACCTTATACCACTGTTGAACAAACGATCCAATTTATCAAGGAGAATCTGATTGGTGTCAGAATAGCAGACATCAGCGTAGTCCAGAATAGGAAGAACGAGAGCCTGTACGAGCGCAACTTTGGTACTGAAAGGGAGAAAAAATTTAAGTTTTTAGAGAGACCTGAGCGTGTTGATCACCTTGCGACACACTTCATTAACCTGGCCGTCCCAACTAAGTGTGCAGTCGATAAGCAAACCTAAGTTTTTAACCACTGGCTGAAATGGAATGATTTCACCATCGTAAATTAAGCGACTAACCGTATTGAGATCAATTAGAGCCAACTGTCTAGAACTGCCAATAATAATAGCTTGGCACTTAGCTGTGTTGACGGCAATACCATAAGCCTTGGACCACTCAAAGATATTAAGGAGATCCTGATTTATAGCAGCAACTGCGTCATTTAGCTTGCTTTTGTCAGCTTGAGTATAAAGCTGAAGATCGTCCGCGTAAAGATGGCAAGAAGAATGAAATTGAGTGGTAAGAGAATTAATAAATAGAGAAAAGAGGAGAGGAGAGAGAATACCGCCTTGAGGTACGCCAGCAGTCAAATCGCACCAGTCAGATATAATCTGATCAGCCCGAACCGCCTGCTGTCGTCCACGAAGATAAGATGAAAACCATGCCGTAGCAGAAGAAGAGAGACCCGATTGTGAAAGGATAGCAAGCAGAATATCATAATTGACCGTATTGAAAGCATTCGAAAAATCAATCAAAACCATAACCGTTAATTTTGAATTGTCCATCCCTTCGCGTATATCTTCCAAAACGTTAAGAAGGGCAGTGGTGGTACTATGACCAGGTCGAAAACCAGACTGAAAAGGACTTAAAACGTTATTACGAAAAATGAAAGTAGAAAGTTGCTTGTGAACGGCTGCTTCTAAGATTTTAGAAAGAAATGGCAATATGGAGATCGGTCGAAAGTGGTTGGGAACTGTAGGATTATGGATTTTAGGAAGTGGTATCGTGAATGCCTTTTTCCAAGACATAGGAAACACACCGGAAGAAAGAGAATAGTTTAAGATGAAGGTGAGGACAGATAGAATACAATCAAGAATGGGATTAATCATCTTTCGTCCGATATCGTCATAACCCACGGCGTTAGATTTAATAGACATAACGATTTTACGAACGTCCTCTTCAGAGAGCGGAGTGAAAGTGAATGGTTCATCAATAGAAGCAGCCTCGGACGTAAGGGTGGTGACAGTGGAAGAAGTTATAGTTTGAGATAGAGAACAAATGAACGTTATTTGACGTCAAATGAACGTTCGCATTTGTTTTCACATGTCATTTAGTTGTAGCGTGAAGTTCGCGAATGTCTTTCAAATGTCAAATTTAAAGTGATTTGTGATAAGTGATACTCTGAGATGGGACTCGAACCCATGACCTTTCGCCTGAACATTCATGAAAATACGCTCTGTAGTATCGAAAAAGTAATAAGTGTTAAAAATTCGTCAGTCCTGTTAGGTCCTGGATAGCATCCACTTTGTCCCTGGCGCTCCGAGATGAGACTCAAACCCATGACCTTTCGCAATCCGAGCGACTGCTCAAACTACTGATTCTCAAGAATATCTATTCTATATTTTTATATCGCTGAATCCCTTGCCGATTCAAATATATATATATTTTTAGATTAAAATCACATTACCTTATCTAAGTTTTCTAGTACCTCAAATGGTATAAATTGGTTTTTTAGTAAGTTTAAAAAAAGGTTTTGTATAAAAGTGATCTTTTTTACACAACCTATTTTAAATAAAAGTCTTCAAAACTTTAAAAAACAAACTTTATTACTTATTACAACAATAAACAAAGTAGAGCCGAGATCAAGCCGAGTTGTGACACGACACTAGAGCCAGAGCCGCGTTGTGGCGCAAACAGAGCCACGTCGTGATAATTGGAGCTCCATCCTATCAGTGGCTCATCGCGGTTTTGTACTCTTAGCCAAAGTTCTAAAGGACGGAAGTATCTGTAATGGAAAAGTGGTAATTATTTGTAAATACGAAACATATTCATCTATATCTAATATTGTAAATGGGTAAAGTTTATAACTTTGTGTGTTTGTAGTTGGAGCTTATGATTTTTTTTTCACCTTCAGCTGCGGAAAGCTTCATCATACGCTGGTAATATAGGTTATAATTTACGTGGGAATTAGGGAAAACAGCTAATAAATAATAAAGTCTAATAAGTAATGGTTATTTCTATAAATGACGGCGTCGACCTCCGCTATTTAACATTAAATTCGAGGCTGTATTTTAACAGAATAGCATAGTTGTTCTTAATAGTAATAATACGCACCTGACAAGGGAATCTGGTGATATCTTATTAGTCTTGCCTTTAGTCATAGTTCTTATTATTTCTGAAGCTGGCTTCGAAGAGCCTGGCTGCATTATTTCGCTGTGAAATGACATAATAATTTTAAATTTTCAAAAAAGAGCAATATGGTGAAAGAAATTCTCCTATTATTATTCTAATTTTTTATTTTATTAAAACATATGTCACTTAAAAATCGTATGAGACTAGTCGTAAATTAATACGACTAGTCTCATACCATGACAATGATGAAATGAAAATTCTTGGACCAGCGAGTGACTATCGGCTAGTTTCTGGATTGAAAAAAAGTACTTAAGTTTTTTACTTTTTACAAGTCAAAGAGCGCTAGATTTACTAAATACTATCAACTGATCATAAAAAAACAAATGTGAAACGATGACGTTTAAGTATCTACAGTTTGAGACGTTCTTAACCTTAAATTTTCAATTCAGAATCCGGGTGTGAGACTCACTTTGTCACTATTTCAACCAACGAGTGACCAAGACTTATGGTAACTTGGCATTATCATAATATGCGTTTATAAATTAACTTTGTTTATAGTATACGAGTTATGTACCTAAGTAGTCTGCCAGCGTCTCTGCTCCTGTAAAAGTCGCATTCATGAAGATGTCCAGTGTGACCAGATGCTATACACAGATGCTCATATATTTGAAACTCCAAGATGGTAGCTAAAAAGTACTTTACATATTCCTGGGAACAGAAATCAAAAGAATCTTTTGTGACAACTAAAACCTAACGGAACTGTGCATTTCTTTTTTTTTATTGGACAGCATCACATACTACAACACTCAGACTCAGACCCGAGACAATATAGAAAATGCCATTTTTTACATTGTCCTGACCGGGAATTGAACCCGGGACCCCAGAGATGGCGACATCTTGGAACCGGCGTGCGATCCACTCCGCTATGGATATATTTTAACATTAAATTCTAGTTATGCGTTAATATTTAATAGTATAGCATTGTGAATGCTTAATTGACAAAATGTAATAAGTTAAAATCTGTTATCTTAGGATTGGATTACACCTAGGAGCACGGAATCGTCTGTTTCTATCGTCTCTGTCGCTCAAAACGATAGTTTCCGAGACGATAATTAACACGCTTTCTGTCTCGCTCTAGCAAATGATAGTTTTGAGTGCCAGAAAAGGATAGGACAACGGGAAAAGACGATTCTGTGCTGTCAGATGTAATCGAACCCTTTGTTGTTTATAGATTTGAAAACGCAGTTTTATTAATTTAGTTTGCGGAACAGAATTGCCCCTGTAATATAAACCACATCTAAAATATTGTGACTTAATTTAATTTAATTATTGTTGTTATTATAAATAGTTTTAAGTTACCTGATCTGAGATGACGTGGTACTTGGAGCCAGGGTCGAAATCAGATTCGCTTCTGGGCACAGGTGGTATTACACCCTGATGAAAAGATTATTCAATAAAAATAGCTGAATCGGTGCTAACTGACGGATATTCCGTAGACCAACGGAACGGCTGGACGGACTGACCGCTCACCGGTTGAGTGTCATATTATTTTTGTCAGGTATGTCGTTACAAAACGTATTTTCCGTTAGATTTACACTGAATATAAAACAACTTTTTAACGGTATTCGATAGGGTGTAATATTAAAAAAATATATATTTCCAAACTAGTTGCATGAAATTAGTTTCATTGCATTTTAATTGCAATTTCATGTGTTTCATAATGTATGCATTGGTTGACGAGATTATAGTAGTTTCGGTCATGCGCATTTTTTTAATGAAACCAGTGTCATGCAACTAATTCAATTCACCATGATTCAGAGGGCTAAACTAGAGTCGCGAAACCTGCGCAAACTGTTGATTTCACGCCATTACGAAATTATTTGCTAATGTGCCGAAGTTAGTTTCTGGAAAATTTGTTTCATCCTGCATGAAACTAATTTCGTAATACAAATTCGGTTTCACATTTGTACTGTTCCATAAAATTGCCATTAAACACATTTTTTATTGTATTACGTCAAAACAAACCGAAATTAGACGTAGTCCTTTTTGATGTCATCTTTTCTGATTAAGAATTGACTATTGATAGTACCCACTATACTTATACACTTTATTTACCGTCTCACTAGAATCTCACTAGATTTTATTATAAAAAATAAACGACTTTTTTAATAACATCCTCATTGTAAAAATTAAATAGCCGTTTCCGTTTTATTGATTGCCTGCTTCATTACCTGATACCTGAGCTTCATTTGCCACCAACGGTTGTTCATATTCTCCACACCATCTTCGAAGATAGACCACCGCCACTGTAATTATGGAAAATGTTCGTTTATTTGCTCAATCTAAACTAATTTTTTAAAGAGATAAAGTTTATAACTTTCCTTGTCTGTTTAGGAAGTAATTTTCCGAAAAATTCCCGGCCAATTCCGATATAGTGCTATTAGTAAACAAGGTTTAGCGTTAGATTAAATTAACGCTGAGACTGTAAACTTCATATTATTAAACAGAGATTTAGCAAAGGTATAGGCATTATCTACAATGCAAGCCATTGCTACATCTACTATTGATGTGTGAGGTAGACATAGCACTAATAATATTAGAATGTAGTTAGATGATAATGGTAAAAAAGGAAGAAGTTGAGATACCTATTGAGATGCGGTTATTATGTAAACGTAAATGTATTGTAAACTTTATGTCAATGTAAATTTGGATGGGAATCGACTGAGGGGTCACTGCCCTACGAGGTGGTCTGACCAGGTTCGCGCTACACTCGACTCAAAAATCAATGACACTCCATATTGCCAAGGACAGGAGCAGATGGAGAAATCTCGTAACAGAAAAACTGTTTTCCCGCCGAGGGGACCATGATTCTCACCAATAAGGAAAACGACTCGAGGAGTAGGATTATATAGAAATTACCAGAATTGAACTGATCATGAAACTTATTTTACCTACGGAAAGCTATATCATACGCAGGTTCCATCTTTACCTACATAGTATTAAACAATGTAGCTACCCTCTGTCTGTACGCTGAGGTTTTAAACTACGGAACGAATTTTATTGCGGCTTACAGAGTTATTCAAGAGAATATATATAGGATGTATAAAGGATGTGTATAGGATTAATATATATATATATATATATATATATATATATATAGGAACACGCGGGCAAAGCCGCTGGCAGAAAGCTAGGAGACTATTATTTTCATGATAAAGTTTTATATTATTTTCAATAAAAATATGTCACAAATGAATATAAATATCACCTTGAACAACTAGAACTGATGCATTTTTTGTATTTTCTTTTAAATCAATATAGCATTGTGAATTTGAGGAGCTATGGTTAGCACATTCGATTTGCCAGACGGAAAATAAGTAACTTTTGCAAGAGCTGGTCATAGGATGAGTGACCAAAATATTATTATCCGTGCTTCAGAAGACACGTTAAGCCGTTGGCCTCGGCTTATGTAGTGATTTATTCCCACCAATCTGCATTCATAGGGAAGGAAGATGATAACGAGTTATCTAATTAAGTTGTATAGCTGATGTACATTTACCTGGTCTACCATAAATGCGAAGGGTAGATACGCCACCTTCTCAAGCGCCATGCTCATCAGGAAATTCATGCTTTCTTCGTAAGGGTCGTTTGTTCTTTGAAAATAAATAAAAAGAAAATTATGTATGTACACATACGTATTAATAATCACGTGGACATTAATAGGCTAATGATACTTACTTATTTTGATACAACCCCAATCTTTGCAAATGCTGTAAGTTGTATACAGATAGGCTGGCAGCGTTCGCTACGGCCTCATGGAATGCTGGAAAAAAATACTGATATATTATTATATATATATATATTTTTTGTAAGGTTTATAGTTTTTGGTAAATATCGTTAAGGAGAGGTTGTGCGAAATTAAATCATTTTTAACTAATTTTATTTTAAGTGTTTGCTTATATTTGCCAACTTAAAATATTTTTATGAAAATTAAACATAAGATCGATTATATGCAGAAAACAGACATAAATTTTAACAATAAGTTAATAAATAACCGCAAAGATGACTCTAAATTGGTTTTTTGGATCGATTTTACGACTTCCTATATATTTCATATTAACTATATTCACTTTTAAACTATCGCGCTGCATTTCAAATACCCGGTACAATAAGTATTTTATATTAACTATATGAAAAATATACATATTCTCGCCATAAATATTGTTACTCATACAAAGAAAATAAATATTATTTTTTTATTGAACGTAACATTTATTCTTATAACAGTGTGTTAATTTTATTGACCGTAACATTTATTCCTAGTACAGTGTGTTAGCTTAATACATCAATATAAATTAAAAATATATATCTTGAATAAGCTATATATATATATATATATATATATAAATATATATATATATATATAGCTTAAAAATATATATCTTGAATAAGCTATATATATATATATATATATATATATATATATAACTCATTCGAAGTGGTCTCCATCGATACGGTCAGTATATCACTAGTCTCAATAAAGTCCTTTAAACGTTGAGGCCAGTTATCAATAAACGCACGCACTCTTTCCATGGGGAAATTTTTAACTGCCAATCGTATGGATTGTTTTAGGGATTAAAAATTAGCATGACGTTTAGAGCAAGCCTAACTCGCTAAAACTGATTAGAAACAATAATTCAGCGGATTATAATCTGGACTAGATGACAGCCAGTCTTGAACTCTCATGAAGTCCGGAACGTTCGTTTCTAACTAAGATTGAAGTTAATGACCTGGCGCCGAGTCTTGCTTAAAGGACTATTCTTGGTTATTGGACATGGTGTTGTTAAGTAACTTAACTACCTTCTCGAGAATGGTATCTTGATGCACTTGTTTTGATGCCTTTTTTACAATATATGGCTCGGTCACTCCTTCATAGCCAACACCTCACCAAACCATCACTGAAGTCTGATATTCCCATATTGTAGTCTGTTGTCTAATCGTGAAGCTTTTTTAGAGTTTTGAGCACAAATAATTTTGTTTGGTGAAATATTGCTCAATTATAAAAAAACTCTATGACCTCCCTTGCGTACCGTTTAAGTTTTTGTTTTGATTTTACCATGCTATTCTTTTTTAATCATCTGTTAAGTAGTGACCAGTGCGTCTCTTATAGGCCTAACGTATGTTTTTAATACGCGACATAGTTCTAGGTGCTATTGTTTTTCCCGAGACAAAATCTTATGCTTCGGATAGAATTTCTTCGAATTCTTTCCGTTACTTTGATCCTCGTTTTCGTATGAACACTACGTGGATGGCCAGATCTTTTTTTGCCACAAACGTATGGAGGATTTTGAATATTTTGTTTGGCTTCATACCTACTTTATGTAACGCAATCATAGAGACGCGGTTTTCTTTATCACCCCATTCGATTTTAATATCACAAAGTATTTTATAATGTATTAGCTCGAAAATAAGAAAAAACAATGAACAAGTATGACAATTGAAATTCAATAGTAATATTTTATCATATTTCATTAATTTTATACTGATTATACTGAAAAATATTCTTAACGAAAAATGTTATAAAAACCACTTTGTCCCTGGTACTCTGGGTCTCGAACCCATGACCTTCCGCAATCTGGGCGACTACTTTAGAGCCAGCTGCATTTGCAGTTGCAGCCGTTAATACCGGCCAATACGCTTTGGGCCAGTGTGGACCCATGCTCCTTAACCATCCATAAAGAAGGCTTGAGCCTCTCCAGTGAGAACGAAATAAAGGGCTGATGATGATAATGAAAGTTTGTGCAACTGGGAGATAGAGTACAATACTCTATTTTCGAGTACGGTTGACAATCTTAAATACGTCCCGCTGTTCTTTACCTGGGTTTGCACCATCTCTAAATAATTGAGGCTGTTCAGCGTACTGAAGATAATATTGTATGTGCGCCATCTCATGGTGGGTCGATATAAGATCCTGCATGGTCACCTCTGTACATTGTTTTATTCTGAAACAATACAGTACGAAATTTACATAATTTATGTAGGTATATATACCTATATTTAACAATGTAACCGATTGAGGGTTGTGACTCTTCTGTGATAGGGTTAGAACGACTCGTCGCCTGAGCTTTATATTTTACAGTTATTATATATCCGTGACACATATCTCTCGAGATATATTTTTAATGAAAATACTTAAAAAATCCACTTTATCCCCGGCACTCTGATATAAGCCTCGAACTTTCGACATCCGGGCAACTGCTCTAACCACTGAGCTACTCGGGACCTAACAGGGCAGACGAATTTTTCTAGCATTTGTTAATTTTTCGCTACTACAGACCGTTTCTTCCTCAATTTTCATGCAATCCACCCAAACAGCCGAAAGAAATACTTTTACAAATATGTAAACTTTAGATAAAGATCAAAATTTGTCCTGATTATTATATTTAATCAATTTTGCATTGACAATGCTATACTGAAAAATTTTCTTAATGAAAATCTCTCAAGATATGTCAGTCAAACTACGAGTACATTTGTGACAGAACAAATTTTTTGGTTGTTAAAAAGATTAATTTTGATATAATCAGCTGCGTTGATATAATCAGGGCACAGAGTATAAAAATAAGGGGCAGTGAGGTAAATTACTTTTTTCGTGAATCACTTTAGTTTTATAAATAAACACGGTTTAGTTAGGTAAGAACTGTGATCTGATATTTTCTAAATTTCCACAGTATCCCGTTATGTACACTCCAAATACGAAATAGAATGTACGCCAGTTTGCTATATCGATATTGAAATTGGATAACTTTTAAAGCATGGTCCACCACTAAAGTACTATGATACACACAGCATAAAGCTATTATGTTTGATCAATTCTACCATACACAAAAATTTAAACAGGTAAATATTTTTAATTAAAAATGTTTAAGAAATCTACCAGCTGCAAGTGCCCTGAGAGAGGGAGGGAATCCAGTCCACAACCTTTCACAATCCGGGCGACTGCTCTAACCATTGAGCAACGAGAGGCCCTACAGGACTGACGAGTTCCAACTCGGGGTACCTTGAGCTGGTGGATTTTTAAGCATTTACATCAAAATCTTTTTTAGTATGTGATTTGAAAATATGCTTTTGAAATTGCATAAACGCCAAAATATTTGATCTTGAAGCGACTGCTGATGACGACGTTGTCTAGATAAGATCTAAAAAACATCGAAATGAGGGAAATAATAATTTAAAAACAAGACTTAATTATACTAATTTAGTGGTGATTATTCACCTCTTAATATAAGTATAAAAGATAATAAAAATAAATCTATAAAAAGAGGTAAGTGACTCCAGTCAAAAGAGAAAGTAGTGACTTGATGGTAATCGTGTAGAATTTATATTATCTGTGCTCACTATAAAGAAAATTATAAATTAATAATTTAGTAAGGATGTTTTGACGACTCGAAAAACAGGTACAAAATAAAAAAATCCGGTCAAGAGTATGTAGTTGCACGTTACGAGTGTTCCGTTCAATTATTATACTGAAGTACCTAGATGATTGAGCTTTGCTCGGTGTTATATTTTTTAGTAAATAAAAGCAATCGCCTCCGAAACTTCCTGAATACTAAATTGGAATATTTTGAATGAAAATCGTTGGAATATTTTTCGAATTGCTCGTTGAAAGCTATCTAATAGATTTCAACGAGCGATTCGAAAAAGCTTTCTAAAGTAAAGCTTTCTAAGTTTTTTTTTGTACGGGTTTTTTCTATTGGCCGAATAATTTCTGTAATGAGGAGAGGAGAGAGTGATACTTTTTTGCTAGTATTTAGCTCTACTAAAGCATAGTATTTCAGTATGTTGAAGTAGCAGGTGATGCTGTTTTGGCCGATTAAATATTAGGTGCCAGTTTTGACCATTTTGATAGTTAAGGAATTGAACTTTGACACAACAGGTATCATCGTTATAAATTTGGTCATCACTTAACATTTTAAAAACCGTACACGGTAAACTATTATTGATATTTGCTTATGCATTGGTATTGGTATAACTCTTTGAAATCCTTAAAATAAAATAAAATAAAATATACATCACTATACATTAAAATATATAATAAATAAAAATATACACCACTCGGTATCCAGTGTGGAGGTTAGGAGCTGGAATTCTCGGAATCAATTACTAGTTTGGGTATTTTTTTGTGACCTAGCTACTAGTAGTTTAATATTAAATTAACTCTCAACCGTTACAAAACTCTTTTTCAAAGAACGTTCTCATACCAACTTCACAACACAAAAAATACATATTGAAGGACCTTTAATATGTGTTAGGATTTTTTTACTTTCATTGGCACGCCGTCACCAAGTGTTCCGACGCCTGACATCCGCACTGGGTGATGACCTTAGTATTTCAACATACTGAAATATCAAGCTTTAGAAAGCCTTATATCCATTACAGGTTCCGTGTTTACATAAGATGTTTAGTCTTATGTGATCACGTCGAAACGTCAATAAAACTAAATACGAATGCAATGAAACCGTTTAAAAGATGTTTTATTTTTTTGAAAACATTGCAAATTTTTATCGCTACTTTTAGACTTTAAGCAAAAACTGAAAATAGAAAATCTAATAAAAACAAGCGAGTTCAGTTTCAGTTCTAAATATATGATTTGAAACAAAAGGTTGAATATACTGAGACGTTTCTGAAGAGAAAGGTGCCTATGATTAGTATTTTGGCAACGTTACAACCTTAACATATTGCTATTTAATGATTAATCAATGCATTTACGTTACTTTAATATATTTTATAGTAAAAGCGGAAAATTTTAGTATAATTTTTCACTTTTTTCATTAGAATCTTATGTATATCGATTGAGGTAGTACAGCAACTTTTACGAAATTTGATCGTAGGATGGGTGATAAAACTTTATTCTTTCGGGTTCATTTCTTGCTTCAGAATGCACGTTAAGTGTTTGTTTTCTGTTTACATCTAGTCATACCCATTCCGTACAGTTTTGAACTCAACGCCGAACACAGCGCGATATGAGTATAGTAGTTCAATGAAATGAAACTTTTATTGCGTTTGAAGTAGATTTTGTTTGCTGAAACCTCTCTCCTGCAACGTCGAGTTCAAGGCAAATTTTAAAGAACAGCACTGTTAGAGTCGTGAGGTTAGTAATGAGTCATATGCTTTATGGCGTTCTCTCTCATAGCTATTTCTAAATCAGTGCGCTTTCAATTGCATCATGCAATGCAATTTGCGTCCAAATTTCCGGCTGTCTTACGTCAAACGCAGTGCCATAAGATGTCATGTCCATTTTGACAATTAATTAACTATTTCTTGATTAAAACGTATGCAGTGTTACACGCCCGCCCACCGGTTATGGATCAACGTGCGTTGGTGGCATTAACTGAGGTGGAACTGGTTTTCGAACATGCTGCATTACATGCCGTATGGTAGCTTAGTCAAGCGTTATAAGAACACTCAAGATAAACACGAAAGCGCACTGTTGTAATATATTTCAGAAGAGATAAGAAAAGTGATGGGTGTAATATCTAATGCTTACCTACCTATAATCTATTCGGTTACAGAAGTCCCAAGCACTTGCAGTACACTGCACGCTCCTCTGTGAAGGTCTAACTAGCATAGAACCTCTCCAAAATTCCGGAGGAACAGGCTTCAAGCCCAAGGAAGTGTAGAAGTCCTCAGCTATTTGGAACATTCTGAAAAACGCATTTGGGGTTTAGTATTCCACTCTTACACTAAAGTGGGGATAAAGTCATAAATTAGCTTAAACAGTATCCTTTTTACGAATGGATGGTCTTTACTAACCTCAAAGGTGTAAAACCTTGACGTAACATTTCAGCAGTCACATCAATATTGGGAGATTGAGGAAAGGGCATGACCAGATCCATTATAGATTTCCAATTTTGTGCCCACATGTTGCCTGAAAATCAATTGTACAGTGTAGGCTAGCAGGAAGCATTTCTTAAATTTGAAATACTAAGCATAAATAGTCGTATAAATAAATCATTACTGGCGATAAGACGAATAGTTAGGGTTTTCCACCTGCCTATAATTTCCGACGTTTCGGTCGGAAATGATTTATTGGCATCGATTTATTGAAATGCAACGCAAAAAAATATATACTTGTAAAAATAGTTCGTATAGATCTTCTAAATTTACGGCGGAGAGCTTTTATTGAAAAGAATTGGCAAGAAACCAGATCAGCAAATGCTGTATATGCTGCTTTAAAGGCATGGCAAATAAACAACATACATGTATTGCAATGAATTACATTATTTATTATATTCATTTTCACTCCTAAGTCAGTCAGATATATAAGATATTTTGTAATGACAGAATAGTTCTCATACCTAGTAAATGTGCAGGGATTGGTCCATCTGATCGGACAGTCGTCTCCCCGTATCTTTGCACTAAACGTCTTCGTACATAAGTGAACAGCTGTTTGTAAAGCGGTGCCACCTGATTATAAACTTCTTCTGCACTCGTCCTGAACGACGGATCTTCATAGGCTGCTCTCATTTGATCACCAGCGTCACGAAAACCTTAGTAATATTAGACGAACATAAATCGCCTTATCTCTAGTACGAGTAGTACCAAAACCTAATTGTAGAACTTTCAAATTTCTACTTAATAAATATTCGTGCGATTGCTCGGGCTAACTGAGCACCACAAATTAGACTGATACATAAAGATTCTGACATTTGTAGATTTTGTAAATAAGAGCGTGAAACACCAAAATATCTCCTGGGTAAAAGTGGAACACTCATTCATAATCAGAGCATTTGGGTATCTGAGACTACACATATCAGCCAAGTCGAAATAAAATATCTGATAGCGAATGGCATTACGCTGTAGTTGAAAATTCTGCATTTTGATGAAAATAGGATAAAATGTAACATTGTAAGGAAATAATTTATTTCCAAAATAATTTGTTTTATTTACTAAGCCATTATAATTTTATTAAATAAATAAATAAGCCCGTGTTACGCTTAAACGATGTAATTGCTCTTCCCGCGTTTTGCTGTCATATGGCAGAGGAATCGCTTCACAGACATTTCTGTTGGCTGACAGACTGTAATTCTAGTGGAGAATCGCAATTACGACAGGTACATATGAAATAATAATCTGTAGTAGGAATTTAGATTGAAGGGTATAATAATTAGGTATTTAGCCTATTCTAGGTTTTACTTTGGTTTGTGTATCTTTTTCAAAGTTTTTTTTTTTAATATATTAAGTTCTTAACACAATGTTACCTGTAGTAACTGCAGCTTGATTCGCCAACTGTACGTATCGCATAAAACGATTCTTTAATTTAGGTCCAGTCTGTTCTCTGTAATTCTTCCAGACATACAAAAGCTCACTCTCAATTCTAGAATGTGCTAGAATCCTAGAAATTTCAGGATCCAACTGCATATCGCAGTAGTTAGGATACTCGGTGTTCTCTTGTTGCGGCCGATAGTGCTGGTAGGGCTGGTTCGTCAGCTTGTATTGGTTTGACATGAAATCTTGATTGGACGGCATCTTTGGAATGTGAGGGTCATAAGGTTTCTGACCGTAGGGGCATATTTTTGCTGTGTTGTATATCTCTTTCATTTCCGTTATGAGTTGATGGATCTACGAAAGATAATATGGTTCTCACTCAAAATATTTAGAATTCGTAAGTATTGTTCACTCATACATTCAAAGCGCGAAGACAATAGTATCGTTAATAAATCTTTTTTAAATTTTCATCTTTATGGAGGCCTCAGTGACCTGTACTTTGTTAAATATCAATATTTGGAATATTTGGAATAGACAATTGCGCAATATACTGATTATTTTGTTATTTATGTAAAATATAAAGATATTAAAATAAGCGAAAAATACGTACAAACTGCAATAGACGGCATTATACAAGAGTTAGATAACTTAGTCTTACAGCTGTCTAATAATAAAACTAAATTATGTTTCTTTAGTCGATGAAACAGAAAAATATTACCTAATGTAACAATTGGTGGATTTCATTAGACTACTCAGATTGTGTCAAATATTAAGGCCTATGGTTAGACAGAAACCTATTGTGGGGTAAACATATCAACGAGACAGCACACAAGTGCATGAAACTTTTAAATTTAATCAAAGTTATATCGGGCTCCTCTTGGGGTATACATACGAAACATATCCGTCGAATATATATATCACTGGTACGAAGCAGGATGGATTATGGTAGTTTTCTGTTTGCCAATAGTGCTAAATGTCATGTATCAAAATTAGACAAAATACAAAATCAAGCATTACGAACAATAGGTTGGATTTATAAGAAGCATACCAATCCATGCAATGAAAGCTGAATTAGGCGTGCCTCCATTATTTATACGAAGATTATATCTAGTTTTTAAATTTATTTTAAAAGCACGGTCTTGGATAAATAATGTAACTATTGAATTATTGCAGCAATTGAATTATTAAACTAATATTAAGAATTAGGTCAGGTCACATTCCATCTAGGAAATTTTCATTTATGATGAAAATAGCAACCTCGCGTAATTGCGAAGTATGTAAACAGATCGAGGATGTTACTTATCTCCTGATGGAATATGAACGGAACAAAACAGAAAGTTGTTTTTTAACAAATTTAAAGTTAATAAGTTGGACATAGGAATCAGTCTGAGTATACTGAGTAACCCTATTTCGGATATCAACCTGTGCCTATGTAGTTTGGTAGAGCAATGCCTTCACAAATCTACTCAGATAGAAAACTAAATAGTATGTAAGTATTTTTTTTGTATCGATGGGGCTGCCGTGTTTCAAAGACAAAAGCCCCAAAAAGAAATTATTAAAGATAATAAAAAAAAAAATCCTATTTTAACTAACAATGAAAAGGTTTACTAAGTATTTTTTTAGATTTACAAATAACCTAATGAGAACTCATTAATCTACAGAAAATTTTAAGCGAATCACTTCGGAATATACGAATAACGAAGATATAAGTTAAATCACTTGAATTGATATTTCTTCTTCTTTTTCAAAGCAGTTCAAAGAATTTTTATAACACTTTTGCTATCGAAAATTGCATGCTAAATTGTTGGAAATTACACTTAGAACTGACGCTCTGTATGTACCCAATATTAATTTTGAGCAGCTTAATCTAGTATTTTTATACATAAAATTATTTGACGACTGGCGTTAAAAATATTCTAATCTACAACTTTACTCAGTACATACCTCCTCAAATTTATCATCAGGCAAAGCTGCTCTGCTCGCTTGCACTACTTTCATCAGCTGTCTCCTCCCCTGGGGGTCTGGTAGTCTGGAAGCGTCGTAAGCGGCCGCTTTCCTCCACGATAACCTCTCGAATTTGGAGCTGATAGTCAATTCATCCAGCATTCTTCGTCGGTTATAGTCTGTTATGTTGGTGACAAATTTCCATTGCGATATTGTTACCCTGAAACCATGTTTTTTTTTATAAATTAACTAATAATTATAAGACAAATGTGAAAATTTTTCATGTATTTGGTTCAAGCTAAAATCATTGCCTATAAAATCGGTAACACGTAGGTGTTAATAAATTATTGGTATAGTTACCTAACGGGGACGAACAAACCAGTAATTTTGAAATTGACTGCGAGAAAAGAAATAAGTTTCAAATAAGCTGCAATGATGAATGATATAGGTAACTAAGGCATTTGTATATGTCGTGGGCTAATCGTTGAATTGGGCCGATCGAGATCTGCCCGGGCATTTCACGATATGCCGCCAATGCTTTATTTAGCTATGAGACCTATTTCAGATTGTATTTAAATTTATATTTTGAATCGATGAACACATTTTAGTTAACAGAGTAAAAAGCAATTATAACAGCCTTTTTGTTTACCAGGCAAATAATTATTATTTAAACTTCATTTTATTTGCTTACATATAGAGATGGGCGGTAGCAAGAAACCCAGGTTGTTACCCATCTCTGCTTAAATAGTTCTTTAGTCATCCTACAAAATCGATTGGCCTGATATAGTCGTATAGTCGGGAAAATCGTCTAACTTTAAACATTTAACGATATGTCGGATGATAGTTAGCCGAATTAAGAAATGGCGGCATAAAGTGATATGCCCGGGCACGTCTCGATTGGCCCACGATATATATAAACTGAAGAAATTTTATTCCCGATAATTTAGAAAAACTTAATGCTCCCAATAAAATAATCCCAAATATGTCGGAGTTATTTTTTACTTTCAAGAATAGTAAAAAAGTAATAGTTAATTGAAAAGAATATAGCTACGAGATCGTAATACTTGCAACAGCTCTGAGGTATCAGGGAGTCGATATAAATAAAGTGTATTTAGGCAATCCCATAAATAATATTTTAATATCTCTTTTATTTCGATATTTAGAAAGATATTAAGGTTTTTGTAAGTGCCCTGGATTTTTTTTATTTGTATAATTATTTTAAAATGTAGAGTAGGTGTTCCTTTACCATTTTTAAATATTTAAGATAGATTTTTAAAATACCTGTAACACATTCCTGAAGCTTCTCTATCATACTCCCTCAGGAACTGCATGGCCTCCGCCGAATTTGTGTTTACACCCTGGAAGAAAACGTTGTTTAATATAATAGTTAATAGGTAGTTTAAGTTAAGTTAAATTATCAATTTATAAGCTGAGATTAATCTAACTAAGAATCTTTGACAGCAATATCATACAATGTATAACTATTTACTATGATTTCTTAAAGGTAAAGAGTACCGATAGCCTTGCATAAAACTCATCACAGGTAATACATTCACAGGACTTCCATTTCAATTATATCAAGTGAAGTTCTTATACAGAATTATTAAAAGTCGACTAAAGATACAAACTAGTCAAATTTCTCCACTATTCTCTACTACTATTAATTTTTACCTTAAACAATGTCTTATCGTACACCTTTCACCCAATTTCATTATTATTAAGAAAATGAAAATTATTCAAATAAGATTGATTTGAACACATACACACAGATTGGGTTTCCAGGTTAACTACTACCAGAGGTAGGTAATTGAAGCTTAGTATTGTTCAGAATAATTCCAACACTGACTCAACTGACGGACCAACATACTGGCCTAGCGATACTAATAAATTGCCTGACTTATTGGATTTTTTTATAATCAAGGGTCCTCAAAACTATTTCGATGGCGCATCTGACCATACACCAGTGCTCTTAACAACTAGTTCAAAAGTAATAGAATCTACGAAACAGGATTCACTTTATAATAAATTTACTGACTGGTATTCATTCAGAACATATAATGAAGATCATATACAAATGAAAATAGCGTTGAAAACTACTCGTGACTTAGATGACGCTGTCTATATATCACCATTCTAATACTTCTAATTGCTTCTAATATAACAAGCCTGTTGGGCCAAAACTCCGATAATTACTACTAGCAAAAAAATAACAAAATATCCTCCACAAATAAAGTTGACACTACGAGAAAAGCGTAGATTGTGTTAAGTATGGCATCGGAGCCGCAATAGAGATGATAAGACTATATTCGACAGAACGTGTAACGACTTAAGGACTATGTTTAAAGTATCACATAAAAACACTTTGGAAACGCAATTCGAGTCATTGCCGGGAACAAGTTCAAATAATTATTCGTTATAAGAAATTCATGAGGAACTACGACAGGCCCCAAACCGAAACCTTTCATAAAAAGGAATTATAGATGGGCTTGGACTCCAAAAGAAAAGGCAGATAAATACCTTCTGCGAGCATCTATTTAATATTTTTTGCCCAAACGATACAGCACCCAAGGAGCACGAAGAGCATATTGCTACCACACTATCAAATGTCTCTACCATCAAAACCTGTTACAGTTAGTTAAAGAGGTATGGAAATTGGCATCAAAACTAAAAGAAAAAAAAACACGATATAATGAAACAACTCCCAAAGAAAGCTATTGTCTTTTTAACAACTCTGTATAACGGAATCCTAAGAGTGCAATTCTTTTTGATGTTGTCAAAGGTATCAGTAATTATCCTTATCCTTAAAAATGGTAATCCACCTTATGAAGTTGGTTTATATCGACTTATGAATCTACTGCTAACCTTGTTCAAGATTTTCGAAAAATTGTTGCTCCGCAGAATCCTTCCAATTTCAAACGAAAACATTGTGAATCATCAATTTGAGCTTGGATAGGAACATTCCACTATAGAGAAAGTGCATAGAGTGCATGAGAAAATAAGGAAAACTCTTGAAGAAAAAAGTATTGCTCTGCAGTTTTCTTTGATATCTAACAACCATTTGATATGGTCTAGCATAAAGGTCTCCTCCACAAACATTTTATACAGCTGACTTACCTGTAATGGAATATAGTGAATGATACGTAGCGATATCTAATTCATCGCACTAATATCGCCACAACAATCGATAGCGAGAAAACTAGCATAGTCACAGCAATCGATAGCAAGACAAACTGCAAGAAGTTTCAACACCCAGTAATGAGATGGTGCTGTACCAATAAAACATCATAAATTAAGATACTAAAAGGCATTTAAGGCAGCACTAAAAGGCGTCCCCGGGCTAAAAAACAACACCTAGCTCAGAGGGAGACAATTATCCTTTAGTCTGCCTTGCCAGTTGTCTCCATCAATCAGTAGGACCAACAATCAACCTTACGGTTGCTACAGATATCGATAACACTGCCATTCTGGCAAGTCACAAAAATCCAAATACAGTAACGCAACTACTGCAAAGAGACTTAGATGGCATTACAGAATGGCTGCAGAAGTGGAATGTAACGCCAGTTCGTCAAAATCCGTCCATTTCACTGTCACAATGAAATAAGGCGATTGACCTCCAGTAAATTATAAAATATTACTCTCCCTCATCAAACCTGTATTCGATACCTAGGGATACATCTGGACAGGCGTCTTACTTGGAGAAAGCATATAAAGAAACAGAGAGCAAATTATAACTGAATAATAAACTACTAATCTACAAGGTTATCCTTAGACTACAATGGACTTATGGCATACAACTTTGGAGTAGTGCTAACAAATCTAACATCCTATGCCTTCAAAGAGCCCAAAATACGATCCTCAAAACCTTTAGTGATGTGGCATGGTATATAATAACGAAACCCATGTATACCTTGAAATAACAACAGAGAAGGAAGAAATAGATATATAGCTATATTAAAGATTTAGAGTCAGAGTAGAAACACATCCGAATATACTAGCAAGACGGCTTATAACTCGGAGTTGCAAACAAGCGACTCAAAACGATTATGTCCTATAGAGAGAGTTATAATTAAGGAGGAGATGTTCTTACTGAAGAACATATTCCACAGCCACTAATCCTGCAACACATTTGCTTGTAGTGATTATCGCAAATTGTAGATTAAAACTTGAATAAAAAAAATGTTACAAGCGCTTTTGAATCGTAATTTTTTTCCCGTACCACTCGTGCAGAACATCTTTTGTCTGACAAGAAGAACAAGAGAAAGAAACTTACCAGCTCTCTATCAGAAGTAACGACATTTACATCAATCATGTTATTACCAAAATAATGTGTATTACAATAATAACAAAAACAATAACAATGTCTGAAGAAAATAGCGTAGGTAGTTAATTAGTCAGTATACTAGAACAATAATATAATAATAATTATTATTACATGAATGTCCTCACTGCTGGAGTACAGGCCTTCCCTGTGGATGGCTGATCTAATCAAATAGGGAGAGTGGGCAATAACCACTCGGGTCTAGTGTGAATTGGTGGGTGTTAATAACTGCAAATGCAGGCGGGACCAGTGACTTAACGTGTTGACTGAAGTCCAAAGGGGCTCCAGATATGAATTTTTGGTCATCTATTGAGCTAGTTACAATCTATTTACCTGTTTCGTAGTCCTTGTAAATCTCTATCCGAGTACATACTTACAATATAAAGTAAAACATATCGTACATACAATTAATTATAAGTAGAACGTAAAAAGTAATCATACAAAATGTCTTTTGAAGGGCCAGCGCCTCCGTTACATTACAATGATGATACTAATGTACATACTCAAGAAAAACTGTACTTATTTGTGTCATATAAAAGTGTATTACTTTCTCTTCTTGTCATGAAAGTCACTTGATATTGTTAACTAACCTCACTAAGGAAAGGGGGAGCGGTTCTCAATTTAATGGATTTTGTGTCTACTACATTCGGGGGATATGTTCCCCCCTATAAAACTAAAATGTTATATGCAACATCTTAGTTTTATAGCTTCCTTTTTATTTTCCATAAAAGTAGTGATATCGTGTGTTACTTAACTGAAATCAACCACTCAATATCATTGCTAATGACATTGATTTTGCCTCTACCGATTTTTCATTATCAGATTCAGTATCAGCTCTCGTCCAGGTTGGAATTAATGTATTTCTTTTTATTAGAAAAAAAAATATATATATATCTGAAAGCAGTACCTGGCAATACCGTTTACAGTAAAATTATTTTAGGCAGATAGGATTTTCATTAACAACTACCACTCTGAATTTCGCAATTGTTAAGGCCATCACTAAGGTTATTTTTAAGTTATTAGTTAACTTAAGTTAGTTGTTACGAAATTATTGCAGCATTGTTTTTTTTTTACTTATTGTTTTTTTCTTATTAATGTCATTACTATTTAAAATAATTGGATAACGTCCGTCCGTCCGTCATGCATATGGAACCAAGGTCGCTATAACAATGTCATCAAGATTGTAACGGTGGTGATTCACTTAATCTTCATATTGCACGTAAAACTTCCTGGCAATTTCGTGACAGAAATCACGACGCTTCTTATTAGGCCAATTTACCTATCTCACCTATTTTTTAATATAAGAATCGGACAATGTGTTTTATACGGATTATACACGAGCCTTAAGCAAAGTTTAACACAGTATTTTATTACAAAAGTAAAAGCTGAGGAAGTTCGAATCATTAGTAAGATAATGAATGATTTATATTAACAGTAAAGTGTTAGAGCTTCCTTTTATCTACTAACTTGGGAGAGTTCCACAAGGATCTTACTTCAGACCTCTACTATTCAATATTTTTGTAGTATTGAATAAAATTTTTAATATTATAAGGTGATACCAAAAATGACTAAATCTATTGCATTAATATGGATAAATATCGTAATAGACAGTGGCGGACTAACCTCTTTGGGGGCCCGGGGTGGCATCAGGCTCAGACCTACAACTTCTTCGAACCGGGGCAGAAACTTGATATGATATTCTTTGCAAGAATATAAACTTTGTATAAAATATTTTGACGCTAATTTTTTGTATCTAAATCAAATTAGCAATTGTTTGTAACTAATTAATTAATAACCATTTCTTGCTGCGCAATTCATAGTCCACTGACTCTCTTCATTTCATTTCTGGGCGCAATTAGATAGAAATATAGTATTTTTACACCCCCTTTTAAGAGTAACAGTACGATCTTTTCATAGACTTGACGAGACAGTTATAAAACGTGATAGTTACCACATTTCCCTTGTTGTTGTATGGTTGATTGTTGTGTAACACGCAGACAGAAGGACAATGGC